CACGTTAACCACTCAACCACTCAGCCCGTCCTTCTCAGCTACCGCTTTTCTATTACTCTTTCCCTTCCTATTTTCTTTCCTTTATTTTTTCTTCAATTAAAAAAAAAATATATATATATATATTTTGCTACTCCTTTCCTCATCCTATATCCCTCTCTCCCCAGTTCCAAGTTCTGGAAGCAACCACAGTGCAAAGTCTGCAGGGTTAGGTAGAGGAAGGAGGTGCGTGGGAGAGATACGGGAGTGTAGAGGGTTATGGTCTGAGAGTGAGGATCATTTCTATTCTTTTTTCTTTTCGTATCAAAATTGGTCAAAAAAATCAACACTATGATAGTGGTTGTTAATCTTTTTTTGAATCTCAGATTCCTTTGAGAGATGAAATTTATGGGTACTCTCCCAGAAAATTATCCCTATGATCATCTACGAAACTTTTAGTACACAATTTCGGGGGTCTGTGCACCACATGACATTTCTACTTGCATGTATAGCTATAAATTTTGTCATTCTTTTAAATATAGACAATTATGTTCAGGACTCAAGAGGTTATTCCCTTGGATGCTGTACCTGTAATTCAGGTATGCGGTCACCAGTGGATCCACATTACCTGGACAGTCAGGCATTCATAAATGTCACTGGAAGAAAGTCCAATATGCTTCCCGATTTATCTTAGTTTAAAAAACAACAACCCACAAAACAGCATCTCTCATTTAATTAATTAAACAACAGGGAAGAACACTCTGTTTGAAGAGTTGATATATTAGCAGCACTTTTTTAAAGGAAAAAATGCATAATCCCCTTTCTCAGTTTCCTTAACAATAATGAATCTCAGCCCCTCTAGTCCTGATTTCAGCCCAGGTAGACTGGATTTTCTTTTTCCCAATCTTTGAATCTCTATTCTGACATTAGCTGGGATTTTCACAGGACAGTGCTGGGGTTTTGGGGTATTTCGGCATCAACAATATTTTGGCCAGTTTGCCCAATTTTTCAACAACTCATCTTAACCACAAGTCAATTGTATGCCTTCTAGGTGGCTGCCTCACTTAAGCAGAAGGTTTTATTTTACTCTTCTGACTTTATCAACTAGAACCATCTGTGCCCTCTCTGAGTCATGGGCTCCTTCTTTTACAAACACTAGCTTATGGTTAAGTTCAGTATATACTTGTTGGGCAAAGTTAAATAAGAGAGATTTTTGTCAGGTAATATGGCTTTCAATATTTGTAAATTCAACAAATACTTATTAAAATCCTACTACGTGCCAAGCACTGTTGTAGGGCATAAGAACAAAACAGCGAACAGAATGACGTTCTTGTTCTTCAGGCATTTACATTCCAGCAAGGGTGATAAAAATCAGAAATATGACATAAGGAAGTGATAAGTGCTATAAGAAGGGGAATAGCATTATTTTTAGATACAACGGTCAGAAAGGCGTTACAGAGCTGATAAATTTTTGAGCAGAAACCTAAAATAAAGTGAGGGAAAAAGCTATCCAGATTTGTAAGGGATAAGCGAGAAGTTTGCCAGAGAGAGGGAACACCAAACACAAAACCCTGAGACAGAAACGTTCTTGGTGAGTTTGAGGAATAGCAGGAAGCCAGTGTGGCAATTGTTCAGTGAACGAGGGAGAGGTACCACAGACCAGGTGGTACAGGGTCTTTGAAGTCATGGCAAGGACTTCAGATTTTATTCTATGGGTGATAGAAAGCCCTGGAAGTTTAAAAGTAGGGGAGAGACCAAATCTGACATGGTTTCAAAAGATTACTCTGTCCATTGTACGAGGCAGGCAGATAAATTGGAAGACAATGGAAACACCCGGGCCTGCGAAGATAGTGGTAGAAATGAAGTAAGTGAGAAGTGCTTGAATGCCATTCATATTTTGAAGGCAGAGCCAACAGGATAAGCTGATAGACTGATGTAGAGTATGAGAGAAAGAAAGCAGTCAAGGATGATTCCAACATTTTTGACCCAAGAAATTGGGCAAATTGTGATATTGTTTGCAGGAGGGGCTACAGAATCAAGAGTTCATTTGTTAAGGTTGAGATTGCTTTTAGACCTCCATGTGCTGCAATGTCACTATATTCACAAGTTCTTAGTGAAGGACTGTTTGGAGCAGAGCATAGACCAAACACTTTTAACGGTGTGACCAACAGGCATTTATTTCTTACAGAATAAATAGGACAGGGATGAGTAGGACTGCATACATCATCATCAGCCTAGGTTCTGCAAAGTTAGGCTCGGATTCACAGGGTTAGATCGCATCCAAGCACGTCCCAGTTCACGTCTTGGGAGGAGAATGCCTAAATTCCTCTCTCCCCTGATTAAATATTCATCAGGCAACCATATCTACATGCCAAATAGCATGTACAGAGAATAGGTAGGCGAAGGGGAAATAAAAAGTAAAAGATGGTAATAAAAGTGGAAAGTCCCCTGCAGGCAATAAATATCATTTATTGCCCCTGTTCAGACTATTCTAGATTTACTGGTGCCAGAGTATAGCCCTTCTTCCTTTACCCTACTAAGATAGTGTCCTGGGTTTCTTCAGAGGACAATCGTCTCCCCCTAAAGCATGTACTTTATGTCCATTAGTAGCTATTATGTCCATCAGCAGCCAGGGAGACGGTGAGGGACAATTATAATATAGCACACCTGTGCACCCAGCAGTGCTGAACTGTGTAGACAATTGGGAGTTCAGCAAAAGAATTTGGGTGGGAGATATAACTCTGTAAGCATACCAGATATATTTTAAACCATGCAACTGGATGAGACACTGGATTAATGAGGATGGGGAAAAGAAGAGGTCTGAGTACTAAGCCCTGAGACACTCCAATATTTAGAGGTCTGGAAGAGAAGGTTGCAGCCAAGGAGACTGAGAAGGGACAGCCAATGGAATAGGAGGAAAACCAGGAGAGTGCTGTCCCAGGAGCCAAATGAAGGAAGTTTTTCAAGGAGGAAGTGATTAATTCTGTCAAATGCTACTGAGAAAGCAAATGAGATGAGGCCTGAGAATTAACTTGGCATCATGGAGTAGACAGTGACCTTGACAAGGGTGATTCTAGTGAGTAGTAGGGGAGAACATCTGTTTGGAGTGAGTGCAAGGGAAGATGGGTCAGGAAATGGGAATAGAAAGTATAAACTCACATTAAATGACTTTTATCTACAGGAAAGCAGAGAAGTGGGGAAGTAGCTAGAGTTGGACCTGAGATCAGGGAAAGGATTTTTACAATCAGCATGATTGTATCTTGATGGAAATAGCCCAGTAGAAAATTGATGATTCTCCAAACTCCCTGAGGGACCGAATTACTAGGCTGAGGGCTAGGAACCATGGTCTCGGGCAACATCTAGCTCAATTGGCATAACATAGTTTCTAAAGAATATATTCATCCTACTTTGGTGAGTAGTGTCTGGGGTCTTGAAAGCTTGTGAGTGGCCATCTAAGATACTCCATTGGTCTCACCCTGTCTGGAGCAAGGAAGAATGAAGAAAACCAAAGACACAAGGGAAAGATTAGTCCAAAGGACTAAGGAACCACAACTACCGCAGCCTCCACCAGACTGAGTCCAGCACAACTAGATGGTGTCCAGATACCACCACCAACTGCTCTGACAGGGATCACAATAGACAGTCCCGGACAGAGCTGGAGAAAAATGTAGAACAAAATTCTAACTCACAAAAAAAGACCAGATTTACTAGTCTGACAGAGACTGGAGAAACTCCAGGAGTATGGCCTCGGGACACCCTTTTAACTCAGTACTGAAGTCACTCTTGAGGTTCACCGTTCAGCCAAAGATTAGACAGGCCCATAAAACAAAAGGAGACTAAATGAGCACACCAGTCCAGGGGCAAGGACAAGAAGGAAAGAGGGGACAGGAAAGCTGGTAATGGGGAACCCAAGGTTGAGAAGGGGAGAGGGATTGGCAACCAATGTCAGAAAACAATATGTGTATTAATTGTTTAATGAGAAACTAATGTGCTCTGTAAACCTTCATCTAAAGTACAATTAAAAAAAAAATTGATGATGCAAGAGGCAGGAACAATTGCAGAAGCAAAGCCTTGAAGTAAGTGAGTGCTCCATGAAGGAAGAGGCTCTGACCTTAAATGGGAGCATAGACCATTCATCCAGGTAGGTGGGTTGATTTGGTGGTGGTAATACATGGAAGTTCTCTATTGTTCTATTTTTTCAGTGAAATGAGAAGCAAGGACATTAACTAAGAGAGAGAGAAAAGCAGGTTGTGGTTTGAGGAGAGAGGAGGTGTTAAATGATCAGCAGTAGGATCCCTTACAGTGGTTTAAAAGTTTTGTTGGTTTCATTTCGGTTTGTTTTTTTGCTGGCTCAGCTTGTTTGGAGAAGAGAACTAAAATAATTTCTCACCCTCAATATTATTAACTATCTTAGGGTCTTTTGGGGGAGCTAGGACTCTACAGTTTTAACACTGGGCTCACCACTACCCTGACCCCATACCCTTCAGACTTTTCTTTATTCCTCACCACCAGAAATGATGCTCCTGGCTCCCTGATCCCCTGGAAGCTCAGGATTACTTTCAGTTGCCCTTCATCTTTCATCCTATGTACCCAATGGTGACAAGAAGCATAGTAGGGGAATTAAAAGACCTGGATTCCAGTCCTGACTCTGCCTTGTACTACTTATGTGACTTTAGGGAAATTATTTAACCTCCCTGTGCTTTAGATGCCTTAACTATCAGTCCAGTTTGGTAGAATTCCCTCCCAGATCAGAGAAACCCAGTGTTCCAGTTATCTGTGTTAGCTGTGTTAGTTCTAGTAAGCTCTATCCTAAATAATTGAAGATTTCCATTGGGATTTTTTAAATATTGAAAATGCAATGGGGATCCTCATGACGGTCCTCATACACTACTAAGGACCTGGCAACCTCAAGGATAACCCAAGAGAAAGAGGGTGAGCCTCCCAGTCTGCCATTCTTGATCCACAGATGAGGTGGTTCTCGAAGGCCTCTATGATAAAGGACTCTCTTCTCCTCCTTCCCATAGGTGGACACTCAATAGACTGCCGCAAGATTATCCAGAGGTTGGGAAGCAACATAGTGCTGCCCCTGACGTATGAAGGGATAAATAAGAGCATGAGCAAGAGTATCCGCATTGTTGTCACAATGGAAACATCACCTGGAAGTACCTTCAAGAAGAAAATAGTGTCTCTTGATCCATCTGAAGGGGGCTCTCCACCCAATCTAGAACATCGCTATAAATTTCACCTGGAAAACCTGAGCCTGGAGATCCTAGAAAGCAGGAAGGAGGATGAAGGCTGGTACTTTATGACTGTGGAGCAAAACTTTTCAGTCCAGCAGTTTTGCCTGGAGCTGAGGCTTTATGGTAATAATTGTGGCTTCCCCAGTTCACAATGGAGGGCCATGGTGGTCCCCTATCCAAGAATGTAGGCCTCTCTCAGAAGCAAAGAGTATGTAGAATTGGAAGCAACTTGAGAGATCATCTAGTCCGAAGATATAAACTGGGCTTCCTGGAAGGAGTTGTAGAGGTTCACAATTTATTTTAAATTATGCATTGATGGTAGCTATTAACACTAGCTACTGTCATTCCCATTTCCCAAAGGAAGGGAGTCTAGCTGCCTGTAGGCAGGAAGGCCTGGAGCCCACAGGACCTTTGGTTTACAAATAAGGTATTGTTTGGAGAAAAAAATGCTTGTCTTTATGATTTTTAAAATGTAGCCCAACCTCTCTTTTATAGTTGAGGATACTGGAATCCAGAGAGAAGTGGTTTGCGCGTGCTTATGCACAAGTGTGTGGGTTGTTCACTGCACTAGGGCCCTGGGTAAGTGAGAGCTGAAATTCAGCTCATGCTCTGCTTGCCACCCTGACACAGGATTTCATCTACCTGGTAGAAGTGACTTTTCTCATTTAAACAAAGGCTCTGGTTGTAAGGTTGGTTAGTTGCAGAACTTATACTAGAACGCAAGTCCACCTAACTCCAAGGCCAGTGCTTTTTTTCTGGCATCTGCCACTCCTTCTTGATTGCACCCAGAGGCTCACCTGAATTCCCAGGAATCCTGACAGCCTCATGGAACTTTCCTACTTCCTCAAAGTGACTTCCTTCTCTCTGGAAATGGGACAGGGAGCCCCACCCAGCCAGCATTTCTTTGAAATCCTCAGGTGTCTAGAGGAGACACAGCACTACCCTACCCCCGCTGGCCCCTGCCCCCAGCACTCTCTTGACTTCACACAGTGTGTGCAGAGCTTCCCCATCCCCTATCAGGTGTAGGAAGTCCTTGTAGCTCTAACAGTGACCTTGGGGAAAGGCTGCCACAACCAAGGAGACCATACAACCTGCATTTTTCAAAACAGCCCATATGTCATACATTCTGTCCTTCCATTACTATAAGTTCACTGTCTTTGTCACATCTTGTGATCAAATTCTTTCCTTGGAAAACACGGTCTCTGCAACCATGACTTTCTTCTCAAGTCAAAGAAAGAGACTGGAGTTTGAAGTCAGACAGAACTAGGTTCATATTTCAGTTTGGCCACTTTGAAGCTGTGTGACATTATATAAGACATCTCACTTCTCTGGAACTCAGTTTCCTCATCTATAAAATGGGCATAATTATAAGTACTGAAAAGAGTTGTTGAGAAGATTAAAGAAGGTGATGAATGTGAAATTCCAGCAGTGTGCCTGTCCTACAAGATAAAAGAACCCACTGCCATTGAGTTAATTCCAACTCATAGCAACCCTATAGGACATGGTAGAGCTGCCCATAGAGTTTCCAAGGAGCAGCTGGTGGACTCTAACTGCCAACCTTTTGGTTAGCAGCCATAGCTCTTAACCACTATGCCACCAGGGCTCACCCTATCCTACAAAAAAAGAAAAAAACGTCGAGTTGATTTCGACTCATAGCAACCCTACAGGACAGAGTAGAACTTCCCCATAGTGTTTCCAAGGAGCGGCTGGTGGATTTGAACTGCCAACCTTTTGGTTAGCAGCCAAGCTCTTAACCACTGTGCCACCAGGGCTCCAGCCTGTCCTATAGTAGTTGTGAAATAAATAAGACTTTCCCTTTTTCCTTACCTACTCCACAACATTAGAGTGGGGTAGGTTGATGGGGTCTGTGGCTAAGATTTTAGAGCTATTCCTACCCTAGATATAATACAATTCTTACTACACACACATACACACACATTGTAGATGAAGTCCTACCGTTAAATAAAGTCATTATTTTAGTAATTTATGTCATTTAGTCATTCGAGTTATTAGGAGGCTAATACCTTTAGTCAATGACAATTGAAACCCATGTGAGATTAGTTGATGGCAAACTCCACTCACAGAATACACAAGAGCAACCTAGATCAAGGGACATCAGGAAGAGCTCTGGTTATAAACAGTATTGGCAGGAGGAAATTAAAAAACAGAATCTCGTTCTTCTCTCTTTTATCCCGAGGTGGTCCTGGAAAGGAGCGTAGGGGAGAGAGAGGGATGGTACCCGTTAGCAAGGCCCACTAGAAATAAATGACATTAAAGCCCCTCGGTGAGGGACAGATGTCATTAGGCTGTGTTGTTTTCTAACATAAGGGTCAACTTAGAATTCCAGGGGGTTCGTTTCAGTGATGGCTCCCTTCCTCCCCTTACTGACAGAGGAGGTCTCCACTCCAGAAATTAAGGTGTTGAACTGGACTCAGCAGTCTGGGAACTGCAGCTTGATGCTGGCCTGTACGGTGGAGAAAGGGGACCATGTGGTTTACAGCTGGAACAAGGAGATGGACGCCCACCCACTGAGCCTGGCCAATGACTCCCACCTCCTGTACCTCACCCTTGGCCCTCAACATGTCAACAATGCATACATCTGCACCGTGAGTAACCCCATCAGCACCCGCTCCCAGATCTTCATCCCGGGACCTAGTTGCAGGCCTAATCCTTCAGGTGAGTGCCCTGGGGGTGGCTAGTGGGCCACATGAGTGAGTGTGGGCTCAGTCCCCACCTGGACCTATTGCTCTGCTTCCAAAGTTATGCCCTTCACTTTAGTAACAACATTTAACATTTTCTTTTGAGTTTACAAAAGCTCCCATGTGTATTCAGTGTATTTCGGTCAAAGAAAGAAAAAACAGTCACAGTCACAGTCAGTCAGCTCCAATTTTATGGCGGCCCCATGTGTGTGAGAGAAGAACTGTGCTCCATGGGGTTTCCAATGGCTGATTTTTTGGAAGCAGGTCACCAGGGCTTTCTTCCGAGGTAACTCTGGATGGACTCAAACTGCCAACCTTTTGGTTAGCTGCCAAGTACTTAACTGTTTGTGCCACCCAGGGGCTCCTTCATAATGACCAGGTGGCATTATTATATTCCGTTCATAGTCGAGGAAACCACTAGGAAGTGATGGAGCCAGACCCAGAGCCCAGGTCTCCAAGTTGTGATCCAGCCTCTCCTCCTCCTGCTTTGACTCCCACCTGCAAGGGAGGCTGGATGAGGGGGTGCAGGTGGCAGGCCCTGACTCCCAAGTCCACGTTCCATTTGTAATGGGACACTTCTGCACCATTAATCAGTATTTATTGATCCCATACTCTATGGGAAATTGGGAATAGACTTGATACATGATCTCTGCTCTCGAATAACACATTGTAAAGATAAGATCTGACACATTTGATCAATAATGAAAAACAGAAAATAATGAAGAACCACATTTGATGGAATGCACTGTGGATCCATAGCAGGTCAGCTGGGCCAGCGGAGTCAGAGGAAGGAGGGACTAAGACCTGGAAGTCTGGGGAATAACAACAATAAATCGTTGGCTCGTTAGTGTTGGCAAAGCGCTTTCGACTGCATCATCTCTTTTAATCCTCACAATAATCTTGCTAGATAGGTGTTATCATCACCCCCATTTTACAGATGAGGACATTAAAGCTCAGGGCATTTAACTACCCTCTTCAAGTTTCTTCAGCTTGTAAATAGTGAGTCAGCACCTAAACCTAGATCTTCCATCTGCTTTTTCTCTAGAAAGAAAAGCATCATCGTTCTGCTACCAAAAGAAAGAGGTGGCAGATTAATAAGCCCATCTAATCATTTGAGTTTGGATACAGGACAGACCACTGACTCTTTCCACCAGCAGATCTTGTGTCCCAGGTTCAGGAACAGAAGAACCAGGGGCCTGGCCCTACAAGGCATTACTTAAACCAAAAAAAAAACCAAAACCAGTTGCCTCAAGTCGATTCTGACTCATAGCAACCCTATAGCACAGAGTAGAACTGCCCCATAGGGTTTCCAAGGCTGTGATCTTTACAGAAGCAGACTGCCACGCTTCTCCCTCGGAGCAGCTGGTGGGTTCAAACTGCTGACCTTTTGGTCAGCAGCCAAGCACTTAACCACTGTGCCACGAGGGCTCCTTAAGGCATTACTTAGGCCCTAATATGCTTCTCTCTGCATCCACTGAACGCTGTAGGAGTCATTGCAAGGAGACTCTTGCCCACAGTAGGCTTGATGTCTATGTGGAGGGCTTTCCCAGATCACCAGAATGGGGGGATGGGGAATCCAGCCAGCTTATGCCCTTCAATATAGTATCCTCTCCAGTGAGAGATGTCCCGGAGTATTTCCAGATGGACAGTTATTGAACTTCTACTGTGTTCCAACTATGTTCCAAGGCTGTGCTAGGTGCTACGTACATAGAGATGAGAAAGACATGAGCGTTGCCCTGGAGGAGGGGGATGGTTCTATAAATTACATGATAAATAATTATCATATTGTAGAGTATGGTAGATGCACAATAGTTGTGCAAGGTAACAAAGAGGAGGGAATCATTCACACTGTGTCGGGGCGTCAGAGGCAGCATCACAGAGGATGTGACATCAACTGGTTTTTGAAGAGTAACTAGAAATTCCCCAAGCAAATAAAAGACAGACTTTCCAGGCAGAGGTAATCAGATACAGCTGAGTCTTGTTCTGCATTATCCTGTAAGTCATGGGAGCTAATCAAGAGTTTTAGGCAGAGGAGTAACATGGTCAGCTTTGCACTTCAGAGAGGAAATTCAATAGCGTGGAGAACAGACTAGGGCAGGGAAGAAGCAGAAAAGAGCCAAATTAGTTATTGGGGGTCATTTTTGCAGTAATCCATCAAGCGATGATGAGTTCTGACCCAAACCAGTGATTGCTAGTTTAACAAAGACTTTTTTCATAGGGCATACAGAGGGAAATTCCTGGCTTGGGACGAACTGGTGAGGTCTGAGGGTTTGTTAGAGGTCACGTCACCATCTATAATCAGAGCAGTCTGTCAGCAAGGCTGCTTGACCGAGGGCACACATCTACATGGAGATGTCAGCCATCTTGAAGAGATACCTTCTGGTTGGTGGAGGTTTCCACTTCACAGTCGGGGCAGGGGAAGGATGCTCACAAACTGTACACTGATTTAAAGTCTGGAACTATTCAAGTATGATTTTTTACAGAGGTCACAGCCTCTAAAAAATCTTTAGATATTTTTCACTTTCATGAATGAAAAGCTTAAAGAGGTTGTTGACATTATAAGACCAAATGCAACATGATGTCAGTAGCCTCCTGGCCAGACTCGCTTATACTAAGCCACACAAGAACATATTTGTTTCTCTAATTCTTTTTTTAAAAATAATTTGTAAATGATATATTTATGGCTCTAGGCCGTATATTTATTCTATTCCAATCAACATTTCAGTGTTTTGCTGTGAAAACACACTTTAATGTCTATTGTAATGAAGCACCTTCATTGCAACGTCTAAATCCTAGGGTGCTACAGAAGACTGTCACCAGGTCATGTGGAACAGTGTTGAAATTGGTCAACACTAAACAGTGTGCAACTTGCTGCTGTCCTTAATGGTCATGATTTGTAATAGCTATGCCTGTGCTGGAATGGTTAATACGTAACTTTAAATAATTCTGCTAAAAGGGAATGTCCCTGGAAGCTCGTCTAAAAGGAGGAGACCCTTTTCAGTAGATTAGCAAAAAGCTGGCTCAGAAAGCCTGAATTAGCTCAGTGGAAGAAAAGGCTTAACACCCGCCATTGAGCTCCAGAGGATCCTCCTTTCTATCAAGGCCATTTGAACTCAAATAGGGAGTTTATCCGTTATTACAGAGTCACCTAGATATTTCACGCCTAAAGCCAGGTCCCTCTCTATGGTGCTTCCAATCCAGCAAGCCTGATAAGAATGGTGGAAGGTAGAACCTGGGCATCTCTTACTGGCCAAGGCCTCATCACATGTCCACACCTGCTGTTAGAAGCTGAGAAACGTAGTCCTTTCTTGAGCAGCTGGAGTCCTTGGGTAGTACAAATGGTTAACACTCTTGGTTGCTAACTGAAAGGTTGGAGGTTCAAGTTCACCCAAAAGCACCTCAGAAGAAAGGCCTGGTGATCTACTCCCAAAGAATCTGCCATTGAAAACTCTATTGTAAGAATGGCGTGGCAGAGTAGTCTGACCTCCTCTAACTTCATAAGGTGGAAGGAGAATCAAGATCAACAGCCCAAGGCTGACGCCTATGAGGCAGAGGTCAGGCACGCCCCCTTTCTCCAAACTTTTTACCAGTTCTGACACCAGCCATCCCTCTCATGGCACTCTACGTCTCTGCTAGGTGCAATAATTTGTTGCAATGGCTACATAGAACTCACAGGTAATACTCACAATTACGGGGTTACTAGGGAAGTAGCAGCTTATAATTCAGCAACAGAAATGACCCAGGACAGCCTCTTCTCAGCTGTGCCCACAGGCAGGCCTCTCTCCCCAGCTCATGGCCCCTCAGCTCCTTGGCCCCTTGGCCCCTCAGCCTGGCTTCTATCCTGCTTGAGCAAGTGTTACAAATCTCTTTTGCCCTACCAATAAGTGCCCAGGGGCTGCCCCCTCCACCAGTAAGCCTTAGCCCAAACGTGCTCAGCTCTCTCGCTCTTTGTGAACTCTATTATGTCAACTGACTAAGTTGTCCCCCGAGACTATGGTCCCAAGCCTTTTAACCCAGTAAACCAATCCCTCGAGTTGTTTGGATATGTCTAGGAAGCCTCCATAACTGTGCCCCCTTTGTGGTTTGTTATATATATAGATATATATGCAGCACACACAAGTATGTATATACACATACCTACAGATACACCTATACATGCACGTACATTTACTCACATATGTCTTCCTATACACATATATGTATCCATGTCTACCTACGTAACCACACACATATTCTTTTGTTTGCTTTCACTGTTGTTGCAAAATTGTATAGGTTATAGTATTTACCAAAATTGTCCCTTTTTCTTTTGTACTTCTTAGTGTCTTTATTTACTGTGGTCAAGTTGTACCGACGTGATCCATATTTGGGATTGCTATTCCCATCACAAAAGGAACAACTGTCTATTATATAGAAAGTGATACCCTCTCCCTCTCCCTCCCCCTCCCATCCCTGGTAACCATCAAAGAACTTTGTTTTCTGTGTATATATCTGTTCTTGACTTTTTACAATAGTGGGACCATACAATATTTGTCTGTTTGCGATTGATTTATTTCACTTAGCATAATGACCTCCAGATTCATGTATGTTATGTTTTACAGACTCCTCATTATTCTTTACAGTTGCATGGTATTCCATTGTGTCTATGTACAACAATTTGTTTATCCATTCATCTGTCAATAGGCACTTATGTTGTTTCTATCTGTTTGCTATTGTGAATAATGCTGCAGTGAACAAAGGCGTGCATATGTCTATTCCTGTCACTTCTCTTATACCTCTAGGACATACACCTGGGAGTGGGATTGCTGGATCATAAGATATTTCTATTTCTAGCTTTTTGAGGAAGCACCATACTGTTTTCTATAGTGATTATACCATTTTACAATCCCACCAGCAATGTATAAGAGTTCCAATCCCACCACCACCTCACCAGAATTTTTTTTCTGTTTTTATTGTTTTTTTTAAATCATTGCCATTTTT